GACGTAATTTCTAAAATGTGTGCGTAGTTCATGGATCTTCGGAAAAGACATCTGCAATCTCTCCTGCTTTAATAATATCTCGTCGATAAAATCATTCTACATTATGTAGTGTAAAAAATTAAATGTAATGATTGCAGTGCTACTTATATCAGTCAAACAGGCAGAAAATTAATTACACGACGTTTGGAACATAAAAGACGAATTAAAAATCTAAATAAAGAATTAACAATAATACAATCTCATATTATAAATAATTGGCACACGTTTACCCTATTATTTAGCGGTAGTTCTAAAAGCAAAACAAATCGGTCATGAATAAAAAGTGATTAAGCATTAGTTTTTTTTACCACTGCGATAGATAAACTTATTAATATTTTTTTTATAGGAGATGTCACTACGTATTAATGAAGCGAATACTATATAATAATCATGTTAAAAATGCAGTGTTTACTCACAATATTATGATCATATGTAATTTCAAAACATTGCCACAACACACACAGGTGCCATCTGAAGAATAATCCGATATCTGTATATAAAAATATTATATAAATATTCTGCAAACACTAAATTTATTGTATAACATTATATACCTCACGGCACATCAATATTACCATAAAGTTATAGCAACTTTAAGAGGCTAACCTAGTTTGGAAGGTCGAAAAATGTATGATATTTAGAAATTTTTTTCTCAACTAAAACCAATCACTTTCAAATTTTAGGGATGTTTTATTACATATTTTATCTCTATAAAATAATTTTTTCATAAAAAAATATTGATTATTTGTTTAAAAAATGGAGTCAAGTGAGTAGTGGCAAACTGCTGCAGTTGTTCCACTGTGTACACTATAACGATTGTAATTTTTACCTGAGACAAAAGAAACAATTATTTTTATTAATTGTATTAAGTGTACAACTTTGCTTCCGCCGTTTTCCTATAGATGGCTTTAGCGGTAAATGTGGGTCAAAATAAATAGATCATAGACGTCATACAATAAACTTGGGCATCTGTCAACATAAACATTAGTCGACTTGTGTCTGCATCATAAAGTTATTCTCGATTGAAAATGTCAGTTTACGAGTCAAATTCTCGTCATTTACGGGAGGTTTTAATTTTCTGCTTCAATATGAAGAAATCTGCGACTGAGGCTCATCGAATTCTCTCAAATACTTATGGTGAGGCCGCCATTAGTGAAAGAACATGTCGTGAGTGGTTTCAACGCTTCAAGAACGGTGATTTTGACGTCGAAGACTGGTATAGCGGTGGAAGAGAAAAGGTTCTCGAAAACGCAGAATTGGAGGCATTACTTGATCAAGACTCATGTCAAAATCAAGAAAAATTGGCACGATCATTGGAAGTGACTCAACAAGCCATTTCAAAACGCCTCAAAGCCATGGAAATGATTCAGAAGCAAGGAAATTGGGTGCCGTATGAATTGAAGCCGAGAGATGTTGAACGGCGTTTGTTTGCTTGTGAACAGCTGCTTGAAAGGCAAAGACGGAAGGGATTTCTGCATTGCATTGTGACTGGGGACGAAAAATAGGTTTATTACGATAACCCCAAGTGCAGAAAATCATGGGAAGTTCCCGGCCATGCTTCCACGTCGACGGCCAAACCGAATATTCACAGCTCCAAGGTCATGCTTTGTATTTGGTGGGACCAGCGTAGTGTATTATGAGCTGTTAAAGCTCAGCGTAGTGTATTATGAGCTGTTAAAACCGACTGAAACAATCATAGGCGATCGGTGTCGAACGCAGTTGATGTGTTTGAGCCGAGCATTGAAAGTCAAACGGCCGCAATACAACGAGAGACACGATAAAGTGATTTTGTAGCATGACAATGCTCGACCCCATGTTGCGAAAGTGGTCAAGACATACTTGGAAACGTTGAAATGGGAAGTCCTACCCCACCCGCCGTATTCTCCAGACGTTGCTCCCTCTGACTATCACTTGTTTCGATCAATGGCACACGGCCTGGCTGACCAGCACTTCCGGTCTTATAAAGAAGTAAAAAATTGGATCAATTCGTGGATAGCCTCAAAAGATGACCAGTTTTTTCGACGCGCGATTCGTACACTGCCTGAAAGATGGGAGAAAGTAGTGGCCAGCGATGGACAATACTTTGAATCATAAATGTATAACCAGTTTTTTACAATAAAGCCTCGAATTTCGGAAAAAAAAACGGCGGAAGTAAAATTGTACACCTAATATGTAATTACCTTCTAGTTGAACTAAAAACTTTACAAGAAAAGCAAAAATTGATAACTTTCAACGACTTTAAAAGAAAAGTTACGATTTTTATCAAAAAGTTTAAATTTTGTGTTGCAAAAAAATTAGTCTAATGTAACGTTTTTCAAAAACATTTAGATTAACCTAGAAGAGGAACTAATCAGCTACAAAACAAGCCTAGAAACAGTTCAATCGGTTTATTAGAGTTGTCTCTATCGTGTACACAAACTCAGAAAATACTGTTTTGAGAAAATC